TATGAATATAATTCTCTTTTTTCAATGTGTAATGTTAAATCAGATTTAGAAGCACAGATCTGAGCTTCCTCAGGCTCTCCAGTGAGCTCAACACTAGCTAAATGTGTTATTGAAATGAGCTTGTTAAGTGTGTGAGAGGGTTTATTTAGTTTTGACACTCAGAGAATAGATGCTTATTGAGTTTCACATCTTTTGTCGTCTTCACGTTTGAATGCCGAAATGCTCTGCAATCTGTTCTGTGAGGTTTGCACTTAAGATTTATTGATTCATCCAACTAGTTTTGCTTCAAGATGTGGATTTAGGCTACATTTGACGACCAAACTGAGTAACAAAATTCAAAAAGTTTTGCACAGAAATGAACAAAAATGCCATTTGACCTCAACAACAAAAGTTTTAGGTTTGGTAATTTTTTTTTTGTTTTTTTTTTGTATGTATTAGAGTAGCTTCTGTTCACCAAGGCTGCATTTATTTGATCAAAAATACATTAAAATCTGTAAGATTGTGAAATAATATTCCAATTTAAAATAGCTGTTTTCAATGTGAATATATGTTCAAATGTAATTTATTCGCAGCTGAATTTTCAGCATCATTACTCCAGTCTTCAGTGTCACATGATCTTCAGAAATCAGTCTAATATGCTGATTTTCTGCTCAAGAAACTTGTCTGATTATTATCAATGTTGAAAACAGGTGTGCTGCCCAATAGTTTTGTGGAAACCGTGATACATCTCATTTTTCAGGATTCACAGATGAACAGAGAAGTTCAAAGAACAGCATTGATTTGAAATAGTAACATTATAAATGTCTTTACTGTCACTTTTGATCAATTTAATGCATCCTCGCTGGATAATTAAGTATTGATTTACTTTTAAAAAGTCATACTGACCCCAAATTTGTTTACATGATTATATAGTTGCACGTTATTATTAGCATTCTGTGCTGTTTTTTCCTGCGGTCGGTGACAGGTCAGAACAGACCTGAGACCCGTTTTTGTGTCTTTATCCGTCATCAGTCTGCGGTGGGAAGCGCTAGTCACGACTCCGTCTGTCACGAGAAGCGTTTAGAGTTGAAGACGCGAGCGCCTGTGTTTTTTCCTCTCGTGAGAGCAAGAGCTTGTCGCTCCTGGCGCTGGAGGATTTGCACCTTGACTTGATATATTTCACAGGCCACTTTAGAGCAAATGAGATGCGCCTCCTCAGCAGGAAACAGAGCAATTTGTTGGGCTTAACGCTGCACTCCAGCAGACGGCTGATCCCTTCAAACACACTGAGAGCGCTACTCAGCTCCCAATTACTCCGAGCCCACAAACTCCAAATTGCAGACATCTCTGGCAGATATAAGGACAAAATGAATGCTCCTCCCTGCAAAATAATCCACAAGAACGTCTCGGTTACGTATGTAACCCTCGTTCCCTGAAGGAGGGAACGGAGACGTCACGTCGGATGACCGACGAATTTGTTGCCTCCGTTTAAAATAGCCAGCAGGACCTTAGCTGGAAAATCCCTGACTATGAAAGCAGCCTGAGGTGCAAGTTATTCAACTTGTGTCTTAGCCTAAATAGCTGACAGATAGATTATATATTTTTCGTAATTAATAATGTAAAAATTTTGTCATTTTAATTTGGGTGTAATTGTTTTATGTAATTTTATATTTAGTATTTATAGTTTTGTTACATTTATTATGTTATCTATTTATGTTACTATACATTGTATTTATATATTAATATACAAAAATATAAATATAATTCTCCTCCAATGCACTATCTTAAATATTTTATCATTCTATTTTTAATGTAAAAATGTTAAATGTTAAAATGGGTAGTTCTTGTAATGTTGAATGGCTAATCAATGGTTAAATATTAGGGGAAAAACTATTTCATAGAGCCATCAGAGTGATACTGGCCTTCAGTCATAAAAAAAGATGCCATTATACACAATTATTAAGAATATACGGTCTTTATGTTGTTTCTACATTACTTTGAAGATTGAATGTGAAATTATTGCAATGTAAAAGTATTTTAAAAAATTTATGTTAGGTGTAAAAACTAATGTTAGGTGGGATTAATCGCAATTAATTTCAGAAAAAAAAGTGCGATTAATTAGTTAATTTTTTTTAATCGATTGACAACGCTAATATATATCCTATATAAATAGGATTTTTTTTTTGGTCGATACCGATACCGATTTTAACAAACAACTATTGGCCGATACTGATACCGATATTGGTCAATTGCATAAAGCATGGCTTAAAAACGAGAGAGAAAAAAAAGATTGGTTCACTCCGAGCAAAATCGGTATTTGAACGTGTCTGTTCCTGCGTTCCTCTGTGAAACCGGTTTGAGTAGAAAACATAACGTTAATTAATTTTTTAAACTTTTTCTTTGCCAATAATAATAATAATAATAAAGTACAGCGTTTAATTTATTCAAATAGAAAAAAAAAATCGTGAAGAGAGTCTTGAATGATCTCTCTTAGTCATAGCCAATACAGCATCATCTTTTCTAGATTTACCAAAGACCAAATGTATTAAACAAAAGAAAAAACTGTCAACGCAATAAAAACATTAAATAATTTTTTTCAAGATATTTAAAAATGTTTCAGCAGGGAAAAAAAAAACGCTACTCCTATAAGCGTTTTGAGAGGAAAAAACAGCCTAAATTAGTAGGCTGTATGTTGCATTTTATTATTACATTCAGAAATAATGTAGGCTAAAATAATGGTAAATAAAAGCAAAATTACAAACACAATTAGGCTATTTTAGTTCCCTTCTCTCCACAACAAATCCTCTAACGTTGTATTTAGGCTAAATATAAGCGTCAAGCCAAAACGAATTAATTTAAAAATGAAACTGAAGCCTGCTTCTCTCATTCTGCACGAATCTAAATGTTTCCATATTCGTGAAGTATCTGGATGCTAACCTATTGTTTATTATGTAAACTATAGGCTTTGTTCTTCACTCGCATTATCGACGTAAAACATCATCCTTCACATATAGACTAAAACAGCACAGTGAGGCGGTGGTTATGCTGAATGGCACAGACTGTACTACCGACTATTTAATTTGAGCAGTGTAACTTTTTATGTTTCTTTAACTGTATTTTATTTTGATAATGAACAGGCTACGATGTCAAATTAGCAAAAATTTGTTGTGTGTGCGTATGAGCCACCAACGCGATCACTGCATTGTTTTCCCAACTGTTACTCCGTAATTTATGATCATACCAACGCTGGTTTGTCATACAGATAGAAGCAAAACATCATTCAAAATCTGTTAATGATTTAAGTGAAATATGTTTTGTGTATAGGCCTATATATTCCTTTTTATGTAGCCTATATAGTTTTATTCTGTTTTCTTCGTTCACAGAAACGCTGCAGGTGCGTGATGTGACCTTGTGGGAATCCGTGTTCTACACTGGTTTCAAACAAAAAGCTGCATATTATCTGCCATTCATTTTCACTTAAATGTAGGCCTAATGCTTGGCGGTTCGTGACTGTGATAACGACCCGAGCAGTCACCAGGAGGATCAATAGCGAAGTTGGAGTCCAAAGGGTTGTTTATTGAAATCAGATTAATTAAATAAATAGGTTTAAGAGCTTAAAACAAAGATTGTAATAAAAACAGTCTAAAACTAAAACTGCAAGTACTAAAAACAGTACCAACTCCCCTCTACAACATTGAGGCTGGAGTTTCACATGCTACACAGCACTACAATCTTGTTCCAAGCACTCTATCCCCCCTCCGGCCATCTTATACACATTTTTTCCCGCTCTCCCCAAATTGGAACATACCATTTTTTTTATAAAAGACTCTTGACTTTGAGTCTTATGATATACATGATATTTAGAAACAATAGTTTAAGTAAATTAATAATACAATTTAAAAAAGAACGGATAAACCAAAACATTTGCACAAACATTAGTTAAGCTGAGTGCTTTTTCTTAGTTTGCACTTCCTATTGCCACGCCCACTTAGCTAGACAAAGAAATGCAAAAAAGCAACCAACATTAACAGTGAAAACAGTGATGGAAGACAATTTCAGAGTCTCTCCATCACAGTGACATAGCCTCGGATACACTCTAATGCCGGTGCATTGCCATTGCAACTTACATATGATGAATTTACAGCTGAGAGCAGGCATTTCACTGGTTGGATGCTTCAGCGTCACGTTTGCATATGGCCGTACTATGCCGTCTGACAAACTATGTTGTGCAGATTTTATTTTGTTTTGGCAAGTATTTAATTATTTTGCCCAGAGAAAAATATTGGATTCTCGTTGTCTCCATGCAGTTAATTAATAAACCATCGGTATCAGCCCTTTTCATGCTATTTCCGATATGCCGATGGCTTTAAAATAATAAAAAATCGGCCGATAAATATCGGCGGCCGATACATTGGTGCATCCCTAATATATATATATATATATATATATATAGCACAGATTTAAACACATTGATTTCAACACTACCTAAAAGTTGCTTTAGGATGTTAGTTATTATAAATTTTTCTTCATGTTAATGATAATAATAAAAAAAAAAAAATTATTTCATTGATTTATTTGTCCAGTTTATGTGCTAAACATATGCTGTGATTTTTATTTATTCTTTTTTTATTTTTTGGACACAATAACAAACATATCAGCCTAAACATACATGGCAATTCTTCGGCCGGTCCTAGTCCAGCCTAACCAGCCAGTTTTAGTTGTGCGATGAGTGTTTTGTTCAGCGGGTTAGTGCTGTATTGATTTCCTTTAATACAGTGATGTGATGGAGAGAAGCGCTGCTCGCTGACCCGTGGCCATGTCCGATTGCTCCGGTCTCCACAGGGTCTCGGCTCACATTATGTTGAATGTGAGTTATAGACTGGTCTCTTCACCTGCCACCCGAGTTCAGGATCGACAATCTGCATCTTTATGATCCAATGGGAAACAGAAAAGATGCAGGAGCGCATTAGTGCATCAGGTCAAACCACACACATGTAACGCTGGTGTTCTCCTTATTCAAGGCTTTCTCTGGGAACTCGAACGCTGACAGTGTGGTGATGTACAAACTCCAGCAGCCCGTCATCGCTCAGTACATCCGGATACTGCCGCTCCACTGGAACCCCAACGGCAGGATCGGCCTGAGACTGGAGGCCTATGGCTGCCAATACAGTATGTGTTTAACACTGACATACCACTGGACAGTGCTCATCTTATGAAAATAATTTTATATTATAGTTATTCATTTAAAACCTTTCATATTATGAAATTTATTTATTTATTTAAATATGATTTAAAATATTTCATATCATGGAGTTTGTTATTTATTTAAAGATGATTTTAAATAAATAAATAAAATACATTTTTGTTTCACTATGAAATTAGTTTATTATAGTTTGTTATTTATTCATTCATTCATTTAAATAGAAATTAAAATGTTATGTTTTTTATTTCTGGATTTGTTTAATTTAAAATCTTTAGTTATGAAATTAATTTATTCTGGTTTATTATTTATTATTCATTCATTTAAATGTGAATTTAACAATTTTTATTTTTATTTTAACAAAATGGTATTTTAAAGATTTGAATATTTATTTAAATTTGATTTAAAATCTTTTATGTTTTGAGTTTATTTAAATATTATTTAAAATATTTTATGTTAATATGTAAACTAATTTAATATTATTCATTCATTCATTTGTCCATTTATATATGAATGAATTTGATTTATTTAAAATATGATTTAAAATATTTTATGTGTATATTTAAACAAATGTATTTATTTGTGTAAGTGTAAAATAAAATAAAATCCTACATATTATGAAATGTTTATTTTTTATTAATTTGTGTATATTTAAACAAATAAATGTATTTGTTAAAATATAATTTAATCTTTTAAGTTATGAATCAATTTAATATAATTGTTTATTTATTTAATTAAATTTTATTTAAAAATCTTTTGTTATGAATTTTATTTAAATATTATTTAAAATATTTTGTTATTAAATGAATTTAACAGTATACTACTACTACTACTACTACTACTACTACTACTAATAATAATAATAATAATAATTAAATCCTGTATTTATTTAAATATGATTTAAAAAATTTAGTTGTGAACTGTCAAAATGTCTATTTTGACTTCCTGAAGAGTAAAACACTGTGGCACTCTCAAAACATTGATCTGTTTGATTTCATTTCAACTACTGTCTCAACCAATAGAGTGAGTTTAGAGGCGGGGCTATGTGATAATGTACTCCCTGTTTCTGCAGCCAATAGAAGACGTGTTTAGCATATGTGTTTGACTCATTATCTTTGAATTTCAGTTTGGTGCCGTTTACCTTTAATCTAATGCTTTCTTTTTAGTTTTGTGATTACAACCTTAATGACGCTCCAGATCAGCATGTGCTCTATACTATGACAATTTCACATCTCCAAACGCCACGTGTTATATGTTATCATCTGAGAGCAGACGAGTGGTTTTCAGTCAGACTGCAGCCCAGCGCTCTGGCTGATGTATGACTGGTCTCTCAGAGGTCCTGTGCATGAGATGTGTTGTCGCTGGAGTCACACGGGGCAGAACTGCAGGGCAAAACCTCCAGTCAACATAATACATTGTTTATTTGCCTCAAGTGCATTAACAGCGTTTGGATTGTTTCCATGTTCATACTGTAAATACAGCAGACCATTAGGGATGGAGTGTTTTCCCTGCATTCATACAGATGTATAATTTATTGCTGGGATCTGCAGGTTGTATCCAGTGTCAGGCGTTTGCATCATCTCTGTTGACCTCAGGTTTAAACTCTCTCTGCTCCATTTAGTGAAGCTGCTGTACCTGAATACATCAGGAGCGCCAATAGAGCTGCACAAACACTGTGTGCAACACCAATTATAATTATAAATTATAAAAAGAGTTTAATAGTTAGAGTCAGGGGTTTGTTGACATGTCAGTCCACACAAACAAACAGATCAATGTTTTGAAAGTGTCTCAGAGTCAGTGTTTCACTCTTCAGGCAGTTAACCTTACACTAAATCAACATCACACACAGAATCTTTATTTATTCATTTTGTTTGTTTCTTTAACTTTCTCTATTGTGCATTATATATTTATTTGTTATATTTCATTATTTATTTATTATAGTCCCTTATTTATAGTTCATTATCTAAATATGTATTTGTTTGTTTTAGATTATTATTATTTTAATTGTAGATTGTTTTATATATATAATATACAATATATATATACTTATTTATTTCAGTTCATTATTATTTAATTATTATTATTATTGTTCATTATTTATTTATTTTAGTTCATTATCATTTACGTGTAATGCATGTATTTAATATAGTTCATTATTTAATTTCCAGTGTATTTGATTTTTGTTTATTGTTTATTTGTTTATTGATATTTCCAATGTATTTGATATTTGTTATTCGTTGAATTATGTAATTGTTTATTTTAGGTTATTAATTTATTGATGTATTACTGTTATTTATTTATTTTAGCTCATTACTATTATCTATTATTGTCCATTATTAATTAATTAATAAATTTATTTATTTTGAGTTCATTTCATTATTTATTTATTTTTTTTATTTCTCTTTTTAGGTTCATTATCATTTATTTTAATTTTAGTTCTTTTATTTATTTTTTATTTATGTATAGTGTATATGTTTACTGTAGTCCATTATTTATTTATTGCAATTTATTTAGGATATTTCATTATTTAAATGTTTTTGTTAATTATTTATTTTAATGTTAGATCATTATTATTATTAACATATTTTAGTGTATTTATGTATTTCTTAATTGTAATCCATTATTTATTTATTTATTTTTCTTCACTATTATTTACTTATTTATTTTTGTGTATTATTAATTTGATTTCATTATTATTTCATTAATTTTATTTATTTATTTTTATTTAATTACTGTAATGCATTATCTATGTATTTATTTTAGTTAATTATTATGCAATTCATTATTTATTTATTTGTTTGCTTGCTTGTTTGTATGTTTGTTGCAGTTCATTAGAGTTTATTTACTGAATGCAGTTGAAGCCTTGTTAACGAGAATGGAAATCAGTCATTTGTACTGCCTGGTTCTGAGCGGTTCAGCCTGATCTCTCGAGTTCTTGTGTTTGTTTCTGCTGTGTCTTCAGAGTCTGATGTGGTCAGTTTCTCTAAAGTCATTCAGTTTTAGGTAGACAGCATGAAAGCAGAGTGTTTTGGGATACAAACTACATGTTAAAAGACTATGATATGATACAGCAATTCCATCAGTTAGTAATTCCACATTACACTGCTGTAGACCACGGTACTGAATTACTGATTAAGATATTTGTATGCCATTTTTTAAAATTAATTAATCTCACAAAAGCTGTCAGGAACATGTCAGGATTATATTTCACCCCCCCCCCCCCAAAAAAAAAAAAAAAA